TATATATATATATATATATATATATTTATTTATTTTTCTTAAATTATCTTAATTTGTTGTTACAGATTGCAGCTTTGTTCACCCTGCTGGTCATCATCGCAATCAACTTGGCGGTTGGAATTCTTCCACACGTGGACAATTTTGCTCATATTGGAGGTTTTTTGACTGGTTTTCTCCTCGGCTTTGTATTGCTCGTTCGGCCTCAGTTTGGTTGGTTGGAAGCCAGACACCTGCAAACAAATGCTCGTTTGACGTCAAAGTACTCAATTTGCCAATACGTTTTCTTGATTGCTGCTGCCATTTTAGTGGTCATTGGGTAAGTGTCCTATTTCTATTTTCATGGACAGTTAATTTTTGCTATATTAATTTTGAACTTGCTTTTATCCAAAAAATGAATCTCTCTAAAATATTATGGCAGGTTCACGGTTGGACTCGTCATGCTGTTCAGGGGAGAAAATGCGAACGATAGGTGCAGCTGGTGCCATTATCTAAGCTGTGTGCCTACATCAAGATGGAGCTGTAACAATTGATTTATGGTTCTCAACTCTCGATATTCTGTTTGATAATTTTTTGGCCTCCATATCATCAGCTCTCTTATATGTTATGTTGGAACTACATTATTCTTGATGTTTATATATTTTAGCTGTTCATATGCTTTCCCCATGTACATTTATATTATATGCGGTTGATCTTGTATCTTACATCTTCCAGATATTGTGTCCGTTACCGAACATAGCCTCTAATGATTCGATTATTTTATTGTACAAACTTGGGTTTCTTGTTCCTTCAATGTTGGCTTGAGATTAGATTGATTCCTTCCAAATATCATTGAGTACATTGAATCAGCTTGATTTTGTCTAATATTTTGATCCTTTGGAATCAAAACATTAGAGCCCTCGGGGATCTTCTGTTTCTGTATCTAGTGTTAACTCATACGATGAACGACACGTATATGTGATGATATCGTACGTGTGTTGTTGTGGCACATATATTATATTGAAATTTCAGATGAAAGCTGAGTTGCCATTTGAAATAGTTTGAGACATAATGTCAGATGAGAAAATGCAGAAATATGGATGCATGAATCTAGGCAAGCTTCAACCTATTTAAACAAACAGTAGGCAAGACTAGGCTAAAAACTGACTTTATAGTACAAGATTGATTTTTTTTTTTTCCTGCTTGAGATCGAGCTTGACGAGCTCGATTTAAAACGCTCGAGATTGAATCGTTCGAGCTCGGGTCGAGATCGATTGAAATAAAAAAAGCTCAAAAGGTTGCTCGAGCTCGGCTCGAGTTCGACTCAAATTTCAATTAAAATTACCATTGAGTACATATATAAAATATTGTAATATTTATATTTAAAGGGTATTCTGGTAATTCACTACATATCTCGAGCTGCTCGCGAGCGGCTCAACCTTCCAAAACCTATGCTTGAGAGAGCCGAGCTTTGACTCGAGCCGCTCGGTTCGTTTGCAGCGCTAGGCACGACTACAACAACAATCTGACATAAGTCATTTTTCCTTCTTTAGTTAAATCTGTGGCTCGTTACAAGTACAACAATCAGCACTATTCTCATCATGCAAACCATATATTACTAGCAACATTCATAATCAGTCAGTAACCATTAGAAAACTAAACCTCACTTTACTAGTACACTATTTAATACCTATACCAATTAGCATTACCAACTCCACCACTAAACCCACGAACCTCCTCTCTAACATGCACAGGCACCCCGAGCCTGTCCAACCTCCCGGACCCCGGATAAGCCTTGCTCGTGAATTCCGCATGCAAACCAGAAACTCTCTGGCCCGACCTCAAATCACCAAACCCATGAATCGAGTATCTTTTAGTCGAGCTCGACCGCTCAAACTGAGGTCTCTGTTTGGGTGCACTAACGGACCTCGCCTTAGCTCTAGACGACTCTGTACAAGCCATGTAACTAGGAGAATCCGAATGATAATTACTAAAACAGCTTCTCGAGCCATCACTTTCCGTAGGAGTAAAAGCATCTTTTTTCGAAGATGCTGCTGAGTAGAAAGTCGGGCTGTTGTTGGCCGTACAGAAACCGCTTTCGTCCATTCCGGTCCTTAACATGCCTGAGGATTGGGCTTCACAGGACGGTGTGCTTAGGCCTGGCGGGAAACTACTGGCTGTGGAGTCCTTTGTTATTGAGTGGGAGAGGGCCCGGTTTTTGCAGTTCCAGCTGTCGATTTCGAGAATCTTGTCGTTTTTGTCGTCGTCTCTTTGGAGATACGATTTTTCGCTCGTTCGGCTGTTTGATTTCGAGTTGTTTCTCTGTGATTTTTAGGAATAAATTTGAGTGATAAGGGGGCAAAAGAATTAGCATTTGTGGTTAAAGGAAAAGTGTCCAAGAACAAACCTTGAACAATATCGTCAAGTGTTCGTGTTTAACGCTTCTCGCCCGAATAACAACACGCTCGGATTTTTCAGGAGTTGGTGGCCCCTGGAAAGTTAGAAATGCAGTTTATAAGGTTTTGCCCATGATGCAAGAATATTATTAATATTAACGGGAGATGCTAGAGTCCTGTTACGGAACCATTCCATCGGAGTTTTTAACCATTAGACCAACTATCTCCGACGATTACATGATGATCTAACGGTTACAAACTCCGACGGAATGGTTCCGTAACGGGACCGTAACATTTCCCAATATTAACTCCTATTCTCTTAAATATTCCAACAAAGAGTTTCATAAAAAAAGTCAAAACCCCTTGCAGCTACATTACTTCCAGTCTTAGTGAGCAGAAAATCATGCATAGAATAGAATAGAATAGAATAGAATAGAATAGAAGGGTGATATTTTGTAAATTGAAAAAGTAACTGGTGCTTTTTTGTAATTTAAAAAACTCAGAGGGTATCTTCAAAATTATCTCTGATGATTAGATTCGAGATTCCCGCATGCCCCCCACTTTTTTTCCACGACAAAAATCCTGAAAACCCGTATCAATAACTCTCTATTCAGCATTTCCAAGTAAATATTCCAACAAAAGTCTGCTGTCATTTTTTTCTTTGTAATGAAAAGGTTCCTTTTTTTCCCTCCGGGAGAAGTTAAACCGTGGCTGGAACACGATATTCTTTGGTGTTTCCCACCCACGTAACGTAGTAGTTTGATTTTATTTAGGCTTTGCCTCCTTCTAACAAAAAAAAGTTTCCTTTTTTCCCTAATTAACTACTATAGCACAAACTATTTTTATACTAGAAAAAAATGAATAAAGTCAAGAATTAATGGTCCCCCAGTTATTTTCAGATAACCTTTTATGTCAACCAAATCTGAGTTCAAACAAAAAAAAAAAAATGGGAGGGAAGATTTGAAATATTTCGCGCACCCGATAATTAAAATGCGATGATTTCATATTGCTCGATTGTGGAGACTCATAATTCAAATTAGCACGGGCTGCTCGAGCTCGAGCTTGCGCTCGCACGAGCGCTTGTAGCCGTCTAAGAGCATAAGCGGTTTGCTTCCTCACAAGGTGACCTCGCACAAGTGCTTGGAGCTTCACCAATGCTTTAAGTGCCCGTAAAGCTCTTCTCGACTAAATATTACTACCTCCTATTCAAAATAAATGTCGTTTTGACTTTTTTGATTCATCCATTTTGCTATGTATCTAGACATAAATTATGTCTAGATACATAGCAAAATGGATGAATCAAAAAAGTCAAAACGACATTTATTTTGAATAGGAGGGAGTAGTATTGATCATAAAGCAAGTGAATTGATTAGAACATAGGAAAAAAAAAAAAAACAAAAAAAACAAGATGTATACTTTAGACACTAGGAAGTTGCACGTGCCACGTGATATTTTTTTTTTCACATTGTTTTTAGTATTATGTTTATATTTGATAGTATAATATAATTTTCTTTCAATTAGTTTAACAAAAAAAGGTGTATTTTATTGAATAATGAAATATTGTATTTAATACATTGGATTGAAATTAAATATTGGATTGAAAATGTAAAAAACATTGGATTGAAAACCCAAAATAAAATTAATATTTTTTCTAGTGAAAATGTAAATGCTAAATAAATTTATTTTGTCTTTGATTTTATTATTTAATGGTATCTTCGTTGTGCTTAAAATAATGATCACTATTATTGTCATCATGATATAGTTTTTTAATGTCATTCTTTTGCATCATACTCTTTGAAAAATAACTCAAATTTGCTATAACTATAATTTATATTGATATTGTCGATTGGAAGCTAACAAACTATGTTTGAATAATTTGTTCTCAATTATTTTGTTTATAGTGATTGCAAGTTTAAATATATTTGTAAGTATAATATTTCATAATAATTAGATATATATATAATTATTCCCCAGTCATAATGACATAAGAGATACATAAATATTTGAAAATGTCTTTAAAGTCGTAATTATTTCAAAACCAAAATTTACTGAAAAAAGTTTAGGAATAAAAACATCTTTATTGATTAAATATACTCATCTATATATACATATTTTCCAACATAAATTGTTGTTGCATCTCCTAACATTGTCATACATCCATTATCTTCATTCCCGGATTTTCAAGACTATCCTAAATATGAAAATTTACTAATTCCAGTTTAAATGAATTATAAAATAATGTTTCTTTCATATTTTATTTTTATCTTAACATTATTTTTATATTTTCTTCAACATTTTATATAGTTTATTTTCCCTACTTTTGCTTAAAATAATGATCATCATCAAATATAGTTTCCTAATGTCATCCTTTTGCATCATACTCTTTGAAAGATAACTCGAATTTGTAATGATCATTTTTTATTGTCGATTGGAAGCTAAAACGTTATGTTTGAATAATTCATTCTCAATTATTTTGATTATAGTGGTTGTAAGTTTAGTTATATTTGCAAGTATAATATTTCATAATACCTAGATAAATGACATAAGAGACACATAAATATTTGAAAATATCTTTAAAGTCGTAATTATTTAAAAAAAAATAATACATGACTATCATAATACCTAGATAAATAACATCTTTATTGATTAAAGATACTCATTTATCTATATATTTTGTCCAACATAAATTATTGTCGCATCTTCTAAAATTGTCATACATGCATTATCTTCGTTCACGGATTTTCAAGACTATATATAGTTTATTTTCCCTACTTTTGAGAAGTGATTTGAAACATTTAGTTTATGAATGATTTTATAAATAAGATATGTTAAAGACAACAAATTTAAAGTAAATTTACTATTTAATTTTATTTTATTAATTTTAATTGTAATTATTTTCTAATAAGTACATGTATTGTAAAATTTAACCTTTAAGGTAGAATTTTAGTTATTTTATTATGTAATTAATCTATTTTTGTTTATATTACAATTCAGTAAATGATGTTTTAATTTATGTAACACATTATTATATAAGAACATTTATACTATACATATTATTAACAAACAGGTAAACTTAAATCATATTATGCATTTTGATTTAGTGAATAATTTAACAATTATTTTTGTTAAGATCATATCTTTTTTACTTAACAAATAATTTTTTTCCATTGAAAGTTGACATTTTGTATGTTGAATAAGTATCTTTGATTCAATCATTCTTAAACATATACATGTTCACTAAATTGTTCCTTTTTAATTTTTTTAATACTATAACCAAAAATTTGTATGGTAAACAATATGATATTTAGAAATTAAAGATGATACTTGTAGTGGTGCATTAATATTTTATACTTATGAAATATCATATATTTTATATTTAAAAAATCTTAAAATAATTTTTTCTCTTACATTTTAAAACTACCTTTAGAATAACCAAATCGAAACCTAACGTCATATGTACATTAATTCAGAATAATATAATTAAGAATAAAAAATTATTTAAAATATGGATTTGCGTAGGTAATGTTTTGTATGTGTAAGAACTTAAAGATATAACTAGTTATCATCCTGTGCACATGCACAGATGTACATAAAATATTATAAGTAATATGTGTGAATTTAATATTAAAATTATAGATGATAAACATATCACATTTTCAAGATGTGTGAATTTAATATTAAAATTCTAGAAAATAAACATATCACATTTTCAAGATATGTGAATTTAATATTAAAATTCTAGATAATGGACATACCGCATTTTCAAGATTTAATCATTAGTAAAAATAAAATAATATTTATATAAACTATTTGAGTACATATGAATCACTATATTAATAAAAAAAAAATTGTGGGTAATGTAATTTTTATAATTTGGAGGGATCATGGTCAAATAATTTACTTGAAAACTTTATTATTATTATTATTATTATTATTATTATTATTATTATTATTACTATTATAATAATTATTATTATTACTATTATTATTACAACGACAATTGTTTATAAGATTTTAAAGGTTTTTTACTATACTGTTAAAACTATTTACTAATTTTTTCTAAAGAAAATTGTTTCATGAAATATAAATTAAAATAATAATAATAATAACATCATTCATAAAACCTCATTAAGTGTAATCATGTATTTATAAAACATAATTAATAAAACCTCATTTATTTTCCCTCAAAAAGAAGTTACAAAATTTGTCATTCATATTTTGTCTTCACATTAATACACCCTACTAAGTGTAATCATGTAATTTTTTGCTATTATATTATATAATAGTTAATGCTATTACCAACTCATAACATTTCACACTAAATATAAATTACATAAGTATAAAAAATTTTATTGTTTCAAAATATTATTATTATTATTATTATTATTATTATTATTATTATTATTATTATTATTATTATTATTATTATCATTATTATTATTATAGTAGTTAATGCTATTTTTTGCTATTATATTATATAATAGTTAATTCTATTAATTTTTTTACATGATTACACTTAATAGGGGTATTAATATGAAAGACAAAATATAAATGACAAATTTTGTAACTTCTTTTGGAGGGAAAATAAATGAAGTTTTATTAATTAGATTTTATTTATGAGGTTTTATTTAATGATTAGTTAGCAATTATATATATATATATATATATTATTAAAAAACAATTGTTTATAAGATATTAAAGTTGTTTAACTATGCTATTAAAACAATATACTAATTGTTTTTAAAGAAAAAATTTTATGAGCTACAAAAGAAAAATATAATATTGATGTTAAAATACATAATTTGAAACAATTGTTTATAATTATGTAATTTATATTTATTGTGAATTATCATTAGTTAGTATTAGCAATAACTATTATATAATATAATAGAAACATACATGATTACACTTAATATGATGTATTAATGTGGGAAGTAAAAATTATTAATGTTAAATTTTGTAACCGAAAATGGAGGGAAAAAAGTTAGAGGTTTTATTAAATAGGTTTTATTAAATGCTATTGGCTAGTAATTATATATATATAGATTAAGCATAAAAAATAAAAGATAATAAATAGAAGTTGTAACTTCCTAACATTAATAAAAAAGATTACATTAATAACCTTAAAACTTATCTTTTTATGAGGGTATTCTTGGCAATTCAAAATTTCAAGAAACAACTCTTCCTTTTAAGAGAGTTATAGATAGATTATAGACTAGAAAAGATATTATTCCAACTTAATTGGGACCGATAAGAAAACACAACACTTGTTAAAACAATCATATAAAATTCAGGGGAAATGCTACGGTCTCGTTTCGGAATCATTCTATCGGGTTTTTAACCGTTAGATTATCATGTTACCGTCGGGAATAGTTGATCTAATGATTACAAATCCCGATAGAATGGTTTCATAACGAGACCATAGAATCTCCTAAAATTCAGTATTGGCACCACAAAGCCTTGATGTATTTCACTTTGAATTTTTTTCTGATAAAATTGTGAGATTACAATTTATAGAGGATAGAGACATCTCATCAGACAAGCAGCACTATAAAGTGACAAAAAAGTTGTGTGTACATAAGCTATGATATGTCTATAAGACATAAGTACAAAAGCAGTGAGCCCATTAACAGCCCCAACTTTATATCCAAACTTGGGTATGGAAAAATGAAACTTAAATGAGATTTGAAAGTTTACACACTATTGACTCTGTCCTACTCTTTTTTTTTTTTTTTT